AATGTAAATAAATAAAATAAAATAAAAGTCCAAAAGGGTTCAGGTGGCATTTGAGCGGTGGGATCCACACACATGAGAGAAAAATAATATGACAGCTGCATATACAAAGATAAAATTTATTTCCTTGATTTCAATGATACCAACCTGAGTGCCTCTATTTTAGTAAATGAAGAAAGAAAATAATTTGACAAAGGCATATACAAAGACATAATTTATTTCCTTGATTTCGATGATATCAACCAGAGTGCCTCTATTATTGCTCATCTTTTCTTCCGCCCAACAGTTGGGGATCTTTCTCTCGGGGTTATGTCAAGGCCATGGATATCCTTAGGATCGGGTAGCCCATGAGCTTTTTTGGGAGGGTAGAAGCGTCTTTTTTTTTTTCTTCTTTTTTTTTCTGTACATACATGGTCTCTTTGTAGACCACATTTACACAATAATAAAAACCTAAGTGAAAACTCAAAAAAAAAGAAAAAAAAAAGAGAGAAGCCATGAGTTTTTTAAAATAGAATGACAAAAGAACACAATTACTTACAACCATCCAATGTGAAACTTGAGAGCTTGGATGTGTCACGAAGTTCGAAAAAAATGTCTTTTGAAGTTTGAGCTTGGTCAATGGAATAATTGTAGCCATCCAATTTCATATTTAATAGTCAAGATTAATATGACCATCTTGTGCCAAAAGTAAATAGTATCATCCTATACTGTCCAACAAATATTGGGAGGGTTTCATTGAATGTACTCATTGTCATTGATAATCAATTGTTTAATAAAATTGATCCATATAATAAATACTTTATTGTTTGGTAATGTTTATTATGAAATTATTTGAGATAAACTTATAGGTCATTTACACTTGTTGGTCGTCATACATATAATTCTTTTTCTTTTTTTTGAAAATCTATTTTTATTTTATCCAAGATAATTGGCTAAAAAATCACTTGTTTTTATTTAGGAGTAGCTAAAAGTTGCTGAAAATTGCCCAAAAAAAAAAAAAAATGTTCTTGATTAGATTTCCTTTTTTCAACAAATGTAGAGATTGTACCAAAACAATTGTATGCATAATATCTTACTTTCAGATAATAACTTCTTCTTCTTTTGTGAAAGTGATTTCAGATAAGAACGTCGAAAAATTTTAACCGTCATCGAGGTCGTTTAGCATATGGACTCTGACAAATCAAGTTCCCAGGGGTTTCACACTTGGGCGACGGTTCTATATAAGGCGGAGGCCATACAGAAAAAGTAGGGTTGCACACTCAAACACCACTAAAGATTCTATTTCGATAGCAAAATGCCTATAATGGCTTCAAACTTTATTTTAATTTTTTATTGTAAAATTTAAAACTCCAGAAATATGACGGATCTATGGAAATTTGATAATAAACCGTTCAAATAATGCATTACTAAAATCCTCTTTTCAAGTTGTAATATTCGTTTAGGAGTCATAAAAATGAAGTGATTCAGTGCTTTGGTCGATTTTGGAAGGACTTTGGACTTTCTTTTCAATTTAATATAAAAAATTAGATATTTATATATAAAATAATAGAAAAAATTAAAAATAAAACATTCAAAAAAATAAATATTTTTATATAGATATTTCTTTGCATTGGCCAAAAAAACCGAAACATATCTAAATCTGAACAAAGCATGTTGAATCTGACCGAAACGACCACACCAAACTTTGTTTGGCTTTGGTCTAAGCCTAAAATTCAAAGGCTTCGGCCAAAACGAAGCCAATTTAACAACCCTGCTTTCTAGATCCATAGTTTTGCACTGCTAATAATCTTTTCCAACTAGTTTGACACTTATTCTTTTCATAGGCGGCAACTTCATGTAAAGTATAAACTAATGTTTTCCACCACACATGTTTTGGATCAGTGGATTGCGTATATATGAATCGGCAATCAAACAAAATATTAAAAATAAAAAGAATAAAAAATATTAAACAGGGATTTATGTAGGGGAATTTATGGGGAAAGGGTTGTTTTTAGCGAGGACCACCGGAACCTTTACTTTCTTGGAACCGGTTCGATGCTAGTTGATTCTTGTTTGTTGGCGATCGAGATTGAGAATCATCGTGTTTTGAAACATTGATATAAATTTATTTCTAGAAGTTCTATATCAAGAATTACCGAGTTCTGAAACATTCCTAAGAATGGAACTTTAGATATACCATTGTTTAAAAAAAAAAAAACGGATCGGTAAAGCAAATCGTTCAGCCCAATCCCATTCCAAATCGATTAGACTGGCGATCCAAAAAAATTAAAAAATAATTAAAATAGAGATTTATAGAGTGGAAATTTAAAAGGAGAGCACTTAACATTAGATACGCTAAAAAAATTTAGAAGCAAGGCGAAATCGGGTGCCATTCTGGAACCATTCGATCCTTACTAATTCCGCATCCCAGGTCGGAATTACAAGGTTTTAAAACATCGAGACATACTACAGGGATCCTTGAGGGCATAGACATGATGACCATGACGAGGTCATCACCTTCCCATCAATGGTGAGCCAGGAAGTGGGTCCACATAAAAAGCCGCTATTCACGTGGACCCGTTGTCTGTCATGACCATGGGGAACATGCCATGCTCTTATTTCTTTCCTATTTGGAAACTACATTTTGCCAATTAGGGCGTGCTTGACTGCTAGGAGGCAAGGTCTAATAAGGAGTACCCTCTCTTTTTCTCATAGAAAACATGCACCTATTGTAAAAGCCATCTCTCTCTCTCTTCCGCAGACAGAGAGAGATGGAACATCTTTTTTTTCTCGTCAAAACGATAGACGGGCTTTAAATCTAACGCATCCATTGTTTTGACAAGGAGGGAAAGATGTTCTAACATTTTTTCATGCTCTTCACACTGTAATTTGTCGAAAAACTCCACTAACCCACCCACGGAGAGAGGTACTGACCTTTGAAGTTGCAAGTTGAAACATAAGATGGTGGGGGTCTAGTGGAGAAGAGAGATAGCACAGCTCCTGTGTGAGAAACCTTTATTCATGGGGCGGGGCGGGGCGGGGCGTGTTCATGGTGTGTTTCACTCCTATACGAGCTGTGCATGTGTGTGTATGTGTGTTCTCACAAAGAGCTGTGCTCTCTCTCTTCTCCAGTAGTCTCCTTGAACACCGCGCGTATGTTTAAAGAACATACAGAATTATGAGAGTTGAGAGAGAGACCTTGTATTGGGACTATATACATATATATATATATATAATATATAGGACGTGGGACGCGTGGAAATGGAAGCAAGCCCGTTCATATTGGTTTATCAAAGAAAAACAAAAATAACAAGGGTAAAAACCTAAGTTCATATAAAGGAGAGAGAAAATTTTGGGCAAAAGTCAGCAAATGTGCTTGATTCACTTGCCCACGGATCCAACGGTTTCGTTTGCACCCTTTTCATGTGGGACCCTTGGGAATTGCTCATACAGAGCAGGTTGAAAAAATAGTGTTTGGAGTATCCTAATAATAAATACAAAGGGAAAGACTTGGTTATTCTTGCACCTGCAGTTCACTTTGTTGAATGCATTTCATTTTTAACATAAAATGGGTCAACTTTTCTAGTAGAAGCTCTTTTTCATCGAGCAGTTTTTGAGTCCGATATTATTTTTTCTTAACATAAATTATGCTCGCCTTCTGTTACAAGGGTGTTTTCGAGCAGATGCAGTATTTGTGATTTATCAAATGCAGTAGTAGAGCATAAGAACAAAGAGTTTTCTCTATTTAAAACAAATTCTGGTAAAAAAATAGCAAGTGAACAATTGATTATTGGGAAAAGTTTATATAGAGCCAAGGCTCTAATCAATCAAATTTGAGCCTACCTCAAAACTCTCATTAGAAAAAGTTGTTTTGATGCCCAAATATCTCAAATTGATCATCTCGACATCAAGATGCATGGACATGAAAAAAAAATGAATTTCAAGTTTCGTAAATAGTGTATTTTGTAACGCATTATTGGACCGTCAGTTTTCAAGATTTTCAAGTTTTCATAGATCTGTCGATCTACACTATTTTTGAAGCTTTAAAATTTATAAATAAAAATAAAATATATTTTAAAGCTATCACAAAGATTTCCAATATTGAATCCACATTTCACGACACCATTTGAAGGTAGGCTCTATACAAACCGCACCCTTGATTATTTTCCTACCCACAGGAGAAAACGGAGAAGAAAGGATCCAAGAGCTTAAAGTTGAGCAAATTGGTGTTTGTGTTTGTTTGACTTCAAAGAAGGAAAAAGTTTATGTAAGTTGTCAATCTTGTACTGTAGAAGTTAGGTGCACTTCCTTTTTATGTAAGTTGTCAATCTTATACTGTAGAAGCCAGGTGCACCTAAAAAATCCATCTGAATATGCTGCTCTAATGTTGTAAAGTCTTATAATTGATCATCTTGACATTGTGATACATAAATAAGAAAAAGATTTCAAGTCCTAAAACTACAGCATTTTGTAACACACTATCTAGATCATCTATTTAAAAAAAAAAAAAAAATGCTTATGAATCTGCTTAATCTACACCAGCTTTAAGTTTCATAATCAGGGGTGAAAAAAGATATTTTGGCCATCGTAAACAGATTTTTACAACAAAACTGCATGTTTTGAAAGGATTTAAAGGTGTCTTACCTTGTTGTTTAAGGTAGACACCCAATACAAACCACACCATTCAAAGAATGACCGACAGTATAAGATTATGAATCATTTCTTGGGCACCACTTGGAAACTTATCACAATTTTTATCGCTTGATTCGGGATATGGGTCAATAACCCCCTGATTAAGCGTGCAGCCAAATATTTCAATAACCTTGATGAGCATTACAATATCATAATGTGGGGGTTCACTGGCTAATTGCTTTAGAATCAGGCAATGATACATGTGGTCTGCGTAAAGTTATAGGGGGCATCGGTTTGCAATAGTACATTAATAAACAGGTTAGCAAATACATTAATAAACAGGAGCAGTGTTGGAAACGACAGGATAAATCTCAGTATTCCACAGGGGCATAGCAGGAAACCTTGAAGATCAATGATAAAGTCCAAATGATAAAGTCCAAATGAGGACAAAAGGAACATAAAAGATGTCAAAGTCACACACTCTCCACATCTGCAGCAAAACTGTTTCTCCCGAATTACATGATAAGTTAGCTATAGCAGAGATTTAGAGAGAGAGAGCGAGGGTGATTACAATTGAATATATAACTTTGACATTTAATGAATAAATCAGTGGCACAAATAATTGAGAGGTTGGCACTGTTAAAGAGTAGTACCAACTTGCTCGAAACAACTTTTTACAAGGTAGAAACCAGCATGGCTGCCAAATAACCTTATTCTGGCTTGAAGAATCACTGAAAAAATGAGAGAGGCAGAGAGAGCGAGAGAAATTGACGAGAGAGCTGAATGCATTGTAAAACAATGGGTGGGTTAAGGTCTTCTAATTCATGAATTTGCGGCAGCTTGGGGCTTTACAGAGGCAAGGAACTTTACACTTATCATTGGGGTCAACTTCAAACTGGTAGTCATACCTGTTCCCATACAAGCAATGCAAGATGGATGTAAAATAAGGATGTTTGCACCATTTATGTGTGTGTGTGTGAGAGAGAGAGAGAGAGAGCATACGTTAGTTCGTCACCGGCAGAGACATCAGTTTTTGCAATAAGTACGATGCGACTCTCCTCCCCATTGACACTCATGATCCTTGCATAGCAGTTGGGCATGCACTGTAGCATAAAAGGCCAAAAGTAAGAACCATGGCTCACTATGCAAACAATTTAAATCAGAGGTTGATACAAGGATTACAAATCCTGAAAATCCCTTACTGAATGGTTAATTAGGCGTGCTATGTTTCCTTTATCTGTTGCATCAATCACTACCTCTTCACTTATTTTGAAAAGCTGCACAATAAAATAAATCTCCATCAGCGCAGCATTAAAAAAAATAAGAGAGAGAGAGAGAAACAATTTCTTTTAACAAATAAAATACCCAATAATTATCCTGCATTTGTGGTGCTTCCCAATATTTTATCCAATTTAGATCATTTTAATATCTTAATCGATCCTGACTTCTTTGACACCCTACTATTCAATTTCTCAATTTCATGTGCAATAACATTTGAACTTGGAGTATATTATCACTGTCTAACAAAATTATGGACAGTGATGGTGGGACTAGGGCCCAAAATTGTGTTCATATCCCTTTTTAGTAGGCATGAAACTTCTCCCTCACCATCGAATGGTAAGTGAAAGCAAATGGGTTATGGCTTTCCATAGTCTACTGAATTGTAGTATGCTTTATGGAAAGGAAGGCCTGGAAAGGAGAGAATACAGAGAAGTTGACTCACATAGCAATCCTTCCCTTCCAATTTGTACCGGGCTTCCCGTAAGTCCGCTACACTTCGCCTAACCTGTTCCCCTCGATATTCAGCTACCTGGAAAACAATTTAAGCACCACGTTAGCGCATCCATGCATGGCATACACATAAATCCAGAGTCACATACATACATACAAACAAAAACATGCACACACAAATAATCTTACATGATTTTGAGACCTTAACAACCCTCTTTTACACTAGGCTAGCCAGTAACATACAATATAGGGAAAAATTATTACACATCCCCACCCAAATATATTTTTGCCTACAGCTGGGAGGCAAGGGATGTAGGAAAAATATATATAGGTGGGGATGTATAGTAAGGTTTCCCCATATACATATAGTTTTCAGCCCTCAACAACTTCATTTATCTTGATGATATAGTTTTCAGCCCTCTACAACTTTATTTATATTGCTGATATAGTTTTCAGCCCTAAACAACTTTATTTATATTGATGTTGATGTTAGAAGCCTTAGTAGGTTTTGAAGATTTGAATCTGCAGAAACTTTGTTACTTGTTCCTAGTTACCACGACATTATAGGTTTCATTCAATGAGACTGAAAGTCCATCAAGGAGCACCGACATAAGAGATAAACAAATATGTTTTTATGGATTCAAAACTTCAAAATACAATATATGCTTTTAGCATCATGATCAATAAATATATAGTTTTAAAAAAAAATCCACTCAAAATAAATATCATTTAAGTAAAACATTTGTCAAACATCAGACTTTTAAATCAGTGGGAAATTTAACAAGATACTTAGAGATGAGGTATTTAACATATATACTATATCTTTGGATTTAATTTCAAAATACCCATCAAAAAACATATTGTCATGGGTTAGAACAGTTGCAAATGGGTAAAATGTAGAATAGTTCATCTCTTATAGGTATTTTGATCATCATCACCATTAAATCCTTTTCCTAACTATTTTGAGCCACCTACACGAATCTCGATCCACCATTCTGTTCTATCAAGAGTCATACCCTCAGTGAGGCCATAAGTCCCCATATCTTTTCTCACTACTTCCAACTATGTTCTCTAAGGCCTATCCCGTACCCTTTTTTAGCCTTCCAGTTGAACCAACTAGCACATTTTATATGCATTTTAATAAGTTTCCTATCAACTAATGATAAGAAATGGTATAGAACACAATATTTCTTCTATGCAGGTAAATAAATCAGATTAAGTTTATGTAGCAAATAGAACCAAGGTGAGGATTTGGAGAGCACCATCTCTCCTTCTTGAATGTTTCTTCGAGCGAAAAGGCCCCATCCATGTATTCCAGATCTTCCAAAGCAAACCCTTTTCTTCTCAGCAGACTGGCCAACAGTAAGAAGATAAAGGTAAGCATCACATTAAAGGCAAAGCAGAAGCAGCAAACAAAGGCTAGCTAACTTGCCTGGAGGTAGGAAAGGCGTTCCTTGAATGTTGAAAAGCTTTTTGGATCCTTTTCTTCCTGATAAAGAACACAGGAGAAAAATAGGAATAATCAAATATATCAGTTATTATATTCATACCATCTAATAAATTTGTAGATCAACCAAGATGCTAAGGTTCCAACCTGGGATCATCGTCATTTAGGATAAATATGGAGCCAGCCAGTCACACACACACACAAAGCAATGAAAATAGCATCAATAAGGAAACTGAAAATAAACGAAACATTGAGAACCCAAGATGTAGCTAAAGCAAGATAATTACCCGGAATACGTTCATTTCTTCAATTACATTCAAAGAATGGCGACAAAGTCCCATCAATCTGTGGGCAATAGCCTTCTTTTCTATTCTCTAGCAAGTAGAAAAGTGGAAATGTGAGAAAATAATGAGCAGCATGAGAATATCATCAAATAATAAATACGCTACACAATTTATACAAGAGCTTGAGGCGCTAGAATCTGTTACACAATGAAGAACAGGAAAACCATGGTTGCCAGGGACACTGGCAGGCAATATGCAGAGGGACTATAACTAATGGTTTTAGTCCCTCTGCATCTGTATGTTCCAGTAAAGTAATCAAAACTATACTGTTATGATCTATGTTCATCTGAAAGCATTTTTCTATTATAATGAAAAGAGTACCATGTTGCAACAATCACAGACGACATCACATGCATAAAAAAAATAAGCTGACGTGAAATGCAATAAAAAAAGTAAACAACCAACAATGCAAATTCTGATTAAATATGTTAGAAATTTTAAATAAAGGACAACAATAAGAATTTTTCTTTGTCTGCAATCTCCTCAGGACCACAACACACAAAGGAAAATGTGTCTGGAAAATGCAAGGGAATAGTGGTTCACAAAAATGGCCCATAATGTAACAGTAACTGGAAGGCACATGAGGAGGCTATAAAAAGAAAACCTGGAATCATCTTAAACCACACCAGCCTGATAGATAATACAAAGATAATCGAAAAGTGGCATGTACATCGCACGGTATGCTAGGGGATTAGCAAGGAAGAAATGAGACTTTGCTAGAGGAAACGGAAAGGTTAGATTTATAGCAAACCAAGGCAAAAGCGCACAATGATTATTTTCCAAGGAAATAAGAAAACAATGTAGTTGCTGTTTTTATTTTTATTTCTTTTGATGAACAAAATATGCCTCTACCTGCTAATACTAAAACAAAAATTTAAATCATAAATAATTTGTGAACTTGGAATACCATGTTTATTAAAGTATCATAAGGCTGGCACTTGGCAGCAGATGAAGAATTGGACTGCAGACTCTGCTCTGGCGAGCCCTCTGAAACATCAGATATGCTCGACTCAATTAACCTTGAATCACTTTGTGTCTCCATTCTTTGGGGCTCATCCTTGATTGAGAACAGTCCTTGGGGGGTCCGAATCATTAGAGAATTATCAGGGTTCGGTGTCCTGCAGAAAAAGATGATCTTGAACACAATAAAAAAGAAAAGGAATATAAAGCAAAATTTTATACACTTAAAAGTCGTACTTGTGTGTAGCGCAATATGAGACCATTCTTGTAGTCTGCCTTCCATATCTCTTGGAACAATGCAACTGCAAGGTGAAGAACATTGTCAGATACAAATAGACATGAGAAGACCAGCACAAACCTACCATAGATGAATTAATATGCTACTACTCATTATATTCAAAGATATCAAAAGCCATCCTGAAGAGTACAATAAAGAAGTATGTTCATGCAGTGTTTACTGTGTATATTGCATAAGTGTGAAGTCACAAAACATTTATTAATATCTTCTTATGAATAGAATACAAAGGAAAAAGTGTGCTAGAGTACAAGACAATGTTGAAAAGTGCATAAAAGACAATGTACGGAAGTAACTTAACTCATATGCAGTAGGATGATGTCACATCTGAGTAGCATACAAACTAGGGACCAGAATAATGGCCAAAAAGCAATATAATGATGCAATGCGAGATCCTATATCAGTTAATTTTTCAGTTCTTGACTTTGTCCATGGTCAAGTCAGCAAGAAGGCAGATAGTTTGGTGAATCAAGATATTTCTAGGTACAGTAGGGAGTGTTGGGATTGTTGCCACCATATGGTTTTCGCCGCTCGATTCTGTAATGTGTGTCCTTCAGCACACTTTTATTTTTTGGGAAAAATTATGAGAAAGTTCTTTTCATGAAGTCTATTGCTTTCCTCCATGTTTGTTTTGTGGGAAAATGTAGCTTACTGTAGCAACTGGGAAAGCGCTTTCGAGGCCAGTGGCACTAATCCTGAGAAAGTGGCTTTCCACCAAAAGGGGTGAAGAGCAGCTTTATGGGAGAGTTTTCCTCCACTGCATTTTGTGAGGGACGTATACTCATGGCCCCCTCATTTCTCTCCCACCATTGCCCCAGCTCTCTCTCTATTTCTTAAAACACCTGTTTCTTCCCTGTTTTAGTTCAATCTTAATCAAGTTTTGACAGATTATAAAATCAGCCATCTGTTAGGCATCAATGATTCTTGAGCTTTTATCAGAGAAGGCTCTGGATCACTTGTATGCTGTACCCAACTAAGGGCTAAAACTCATCTCCGTTCTCCTCTTTTTGCTCTTGCAACTATTTGTTGCAGAATGGCCCAAACTATCAAACTTCCTCAAATTTATCAGGCTCTGATCATAGTTTTTCAACTGATATTCCAAGGAACTGTTATAGTATTGGAAGAAATAATGGGAATTGCAGGTTAAACTTCAAAAATTCTTTTGATCATGGTTTGTTAAATGGAGCTTTTGGCAAGAAGCCTCCATTCATACTGGCTTATCATTCAGAGATTGCCATGAATGTTTCTGTTAAATTCACTTTGAGGTTGATGAGGAAGTGGATGCAAAAATTATCCATGGGTTTGGAGCTTTCGAGCATGGAAGTTTATTGAGGTTTCTAGACTGGCCAATGCCTCAAAAACTGAATGTTGCTGTTGATTTAGATACAGTAATGCTATAACTTTGCACATTTGTCAGTTTTCATTCCTTTAATTTTTTTTCTCTTTCTAAAGTCAGACATGTGACTAACATTGTCAATATGATACTTATATAATTTATATTTCTCTCTAGTTATGTATTATATCTCTACATAATATAATTCTGTTTGTTTTGATCAATGGCAGTATCTTATTTTTAACAGAGTCGATATTGTCACCCAGTTTGAGAGGTGTCCTGTGCTACTATGTCGTTGTCATTAAGTGATGAGTGTTACAAGTTTGAAATTAACAGATAGAATAAATCATAGTTTCATTCGAGTGATGATGGTGTTTCATTGTCTATATGTGGTACAAATAGCAAATAATTTGCCCTTCTTGATGTAAAATTTGCTTCATCAAAATTATCTTTTATGAAAGGGAAACAAGATCACTTTTCATCCACGTTTCTTTCAGAGTGTTCCTAAGAAACCAAGAATGATGTCTGCCATTTAATCTATGATGGCCTTTTTACCATAATTCAAATGGAAAAAATTTCAATGTATTTTATTAGTCATACTATGGATAGGTAAAACAAACCCCTTCATTGGATAGATATCAATATCGAATCAGCGAAACTTCTAATGAATGATTATAAAAGTTCTAGTTTGCAAATTCCATGGGAATCGGCATCCCAAACAGGTTATTGCAGACAATTTGCCAGATATGGGAAAAAACCGGCTGAGAAAATCGTATCCTATCAAAACTACTTTCAAAGGAAACACAATACCAGGACACAACAGTTTCCTGAAAAATAAAACAAGCCCTTAATGAATGAATGTCACTTTACACTATCAACAGAATGTATGTTTATTTAACCAAAAAAATAGAACGTGTGTTGCACGTTTTAACCCACAAGAATTTTTAATAGGTAAAAATAAAACTAATTGTTAAATAAAGACTCACAGTTTTATGCTTTGTTTAAATTTTTCTGCTCCATTAAAAGTGTAAAAAGTTAAGAATACTTTTGATTATAACTATTCCATATACTCAAAAATGGTTTATAATGCAATTTGAAGTATTCAATGTAAAGTCATAAGTTGATTGATATAAAGGGAATTTGGGACACTCTTTCCCTCTATCTTAGAAAATCATACTTCGCTCTCTCTTGTTTTTCCCTTCTTTAACTCTCTTCAATGGTTAAAACCCAATGAGTTGACTCATGGGTCTCCTATCATTTCTCTCCTTTTGCTCTTTGTTTTTCATTTTCTCTCTCTATTCAATATTTCTAAGGTTACTCAAGAAAGCTATCCTTTTTATCTAAAGTGGAGTTTCATTTAGTACATTTCCACTGATTTACATAAAAATTTACTACCCTAAGGAAATCAAACACTAAAAAAGCACTATTTTTGTGGTTGCAAGTCGAGTGAGCATAATAAAGTCATTTTTTGAAAACTTAAAAGAGTGTCATGAGTGAGAGAAAGAGAGAGCACGTACATAGAGGTAAAATACAACTTTTACTTTTGTTTGCATGTGTAAAAAAACACAAAATCAAATAATGTGTCCGTGCATGGAAAAAATTAAGACCTAATATTGAATAGAGACCATCCAATATTTGAATGGTAACACATAAAGTTGATTTAAAGAAATAAGTACATTGATATGCACGCAAATTGATATTCCATATAGAGCTAAGAGAAAACAATGGTTAGTGGCTTTTCCTACTTGGATATAACACAATAGCCTACCCTGAAATATGGTTATAAGGCACTAGAGCCAAACATACTACAATTCTAGGAAACCGTATCAATGGAATTAAGTTTACACAAAAATAGAACTTTATAATTTTAGTTCAAAAAAAGTTATAAATTGATTTTTGTTTTGACGGGAGAATTAAAATCAAGAGAGTCAAGTAGATGCAATCAGAAAGGTGATAAAGAAAATACGATGAAAGCACCATTGATATAGATGGTGGTGAAGTGTCGTCATATGAGGCTTTAGTGTCATATAGTAGTTAAGAGAATTATAGGAATTCCTGTGAGCTATAGTATATTATGTCTTTGTGAACAAATTATTTCATAAATCATATAGTTTAACACATTATTCTTTTCAATATCATATAATAGAAATAATGGCCCATTCTAGTTTTAAATATAAAATTTGTAATTTTTATCCGATTTTGGTATTTTGCTTAATATTGATCACTAACTGAGTATTTTCAAGAAAAACTTAGAATTTTATTGTGTAGAAAAGCTTTTATATACCCCAGAGAGCACAAACATATGAAAGACAAAAACCTAAATTTCCATGTACTTTGGTTGCTAAATGACAACTCTGAGCCTCCTAACATACTTAGAGAGCACCACTTGGCTTATGAAGTATGTGGCTTCTCATATTATATATCGATACAGATAGAATAGATAGATAAATATCAAAACCTTTTATCAAAAAATTAGGGAAAAATTAGTCACATGAGCACTAGCTTTAATGATGTTATTTTTTTCAAGAAAAACGAAGTCTTCATGACTAAACTGGTTTGAAATGCATAATTTCAATTTTGTCATTTGAGAAATATTTTGTCAAAGTGAAATTAGAATTTTTATTCTGCCGAACTATAAATTTTAATTTCTCTCGTCTTTTGAGTAAAATTTTCAATTTCAAAAGTAAGTTAAATTACAATTTTCATGTCATTTTGACTATTTTAATTAATATAAAAATAATAACAAAGAATTGGAAAAACCTTTAAATGCAAATTTTAAAAAATATTTCCTTATTATTAAAAATATTTATAATTTAAATTTGATTTTCTCATTAATTAAATATATTATTCAAATAAAAAATTTATTTCGTGACTATAATTTTATTAGATTAAATAATTAAATTTTAAAAAATTAATTTTAAAGTTTATGCTTGTAGAAAGAAATAATTATTAATATAATTTGAATTTCAAAAATTTCACCTTTGATATTAAATTTATAGTTTTTTGTTTGACAAGGATATTAAATTTATAGTTTCCAAAACAAATATTGGGACATAACATGAACGTAAAATTCATTTCATTATAGAATTCAAATTTGTTTCAATAGAATGCTCCTTTTAATAATTTACAAAAATTTATGAAACACTTTATTAAAATGGTAAATGATTATATTGTCGTTTGGTATAAAATATTGGTTATTTTGGAAAAACAAAAAATAATTTCTTGTAATTAATCATTTTACCTTCTAGCATTTAATGATTGTTGTACGTCACATTGAGCCAATTTTTGTTCGAAGCTGAAAATTTTGTCCTACATGCTCCCTTAGGAGCACATTGTAATTTTTATCCCTTAGGAAAAAGACTTAATAGCATTCTATAGTCTTAAAATTTAGGGAACTACTATTGAATGACTTTATGAGCCTCTTAAAATAAAAAAGTTGAAATTTCAGTTTCCAAATTTTGGGTAGAATTGTAGCCGAGGGATCACATACTTGAGGGAACAATGTTGTATTAGTATTAATTAAGTCATATTATTATGTAATAAGCTTTAAGCTTATAAAGTTAGTTGAACAATAACTATTGCACCGAACCATTTCCCAAAGCACATCTTGGTGGCCACATGGTTCCCAAACCATGTGGTGCTTTATATATAATAGATCATCATCTTCGAAGCCTTTTTCTAACTGATTGGAGTCGACTATACGAATCGTGGTCTGTCATTCTGCTCTATTAAGGATAATTTTTAACCCTTGCTCATTTCTCACTATACCCGGGTTCTGATACAGCATGTCACTTCTAGGGAACGTCATAGCATAAGCAGACAAGTAGGTTCAGAATTCATGATAAGTTTTGGCAAAGTTCTACATTGGCTGACTACCTAACACAACCCAACCCCTTGACCCAAGCATGGGATAGGTTAAAGGAAAGGTTAAGGTCTATGAATGTGTGTGTGTGCAGTAGCTTATCCCTTGTGCTTCTCCATATGTGCGGAAACAACCCTTTATGACGTTGTTTCCGCACCTCAAACTCATCTCCCTTCAGCTAAACTTAAATTGGGGGTTAAACTTTAAAGAACTATATAGTGTATATGTCTCCACATACACACGGATGCACACACATGTGCAAGCGTGCACACAAAGGGTATGCCTCAATATGTCATTTGCAGCATTGCTGAGGACAATGGAATAAAGAATAGTCCTGAAAGCACAAACAAAACCGCTTAGATAAGGAGTACAATCAAACACGCAACACACAACTCCTGGCTGATATCTGTCTTCAATTTCATTGATACTCATTAAAATCAACTGTATTTGAGAACCCAATATTCTAGGTTGTACATAATAGTAATAATAGTAATAATAATATCATTATTATTATTATTATTAGTAATCTTAATATTAGTATTAATATTAATATTAAAAAAGACTTCCAGGATGAATATAAAAGTAGCATCCAATTATTATGGCAGTTTAATCCAACAATTGTTAATGCACAGACACAATAATAATAATTATAACATTAATATTAATAGTAATATTAATATCAATAACAGCAGTCCCAGCCTATGACTAACCAGGTAACAATCATCATTACTGTCTTTTAATAGGGACTTTTGCTACAGATACATTACCTCCATCTGGTAGCCCGCTCTTGATGCACACATCGCATGGTACTTGGTTTGACACTTGCAACACTGGGTACATGAACCATGCATCTGCTTGCATATAACACAAACCTAGAATTCCATTAAATTATCAGCAAAACTGTATCCACTTGATACTGAGAGGTAATAACGTGAAATACTTAGGTAAAAAGTAGAAGCAAATCTGCTGCTTCAACAGAAGTAACAAACCGGAGATACAAATATAGCCACGCAAACCCGGAAGAACTTTTGTGACGTGTAGTGAAAAAGAAAAAGAAAAAATTATTTGACACTATCATTCAATTATAGATTACAGGTGTGAACAGTCGCATGCTCAAAACAATTTATTTAGCACCCAAATTTACAGTTCAAGGGAATAAACAGTTCCGTCAATTTTCCAAACCTGTAGGAAAGTCTTGGATGGAATTTTCAAGATGCCAACTGCTGGCTCCATAGTCTCATCGCTCATAAAGGAAACCTCATGTGCAAACCAAGCACACGTGACATGAACCCATAACGGTTTGACATTTGTTGGTTTCAAAGCCCCACCTATGAATTAATCAGACACTCGATAAATATTTATTCAACCAAACAAAATTCCACAATTATCTATCACATTTCCAAACTTCCATCTACTATTCTTATTCAAATTACTTTTTATCAGAAATTTAAAATAAGGCTAGCCTATATGTTTAATGATTGTTTGTAGAAACGCTGAATAACTTTGTCAATGATGCAAAGGCATGAACTAACAAGAGTTTCATTTTGAAATAATCTTGCCTTTTACAGGACAAAGGCAACATTCCCGCTCGATTTCTGGGGTCTCGCATGCCCTACAAACCCAAGAAGTGAAGTCCTGTATGTTTCTTGCCCCATAGCATTCCTGGTGAACGGCTATTTGACATCTGCTTATAACATACACAATATCTTAGAAGCTCATATCAAGAACTATTAAGGGCAGAGAAAGAAAACTTTATGTTTCAAATTGAATAAATTAAATTGGTACAGTTTTCAATGATCCCATGAAAAATCTGGCAGGCATTTAATCGACATGAAATATCCTTTTTCCGATTCCCATTGACATACCGGTTACAAATTATAATCTTATTGTAGTCCCAATCCTCAACCCATCGGCATATTGCACACCGTTCTGTGGTCCAATTAGCATGTACTGGATCATATTTCTCTGTTGTAATATGCAAAGAGAGGCCAGAATCAGTAAAATCTGATTTAGCTTTTTTATTGGTCCCTACCAACAGGTTCATGAAAAATGTCCAAAAGAACAACATACACAGAGAGAGACAAGATACTGTTTACCTTGCAAGTAAGCAAGCAAATCCCGCTTCCGAAAATTGAGTGAGCCTCTTTCTGAATTTTATTAAAAACACCAAAAGCACAAAGCATCTACCTATCAGTAAGTAACATCTAGAAAACAAAATACAATCAGATAAAAGGCATATAATCCTTTACCTTGTAAGCGATAGAAGACCTCCAGCTTTCCCGAGTACAATACAGGAGATATCTTGTGACATTCATTATTACCAAAAGCACCAGGATTTGATTCTGTAAACTGTTGTAACTGCAGAATATCAAAATATAGTCAGTCAAGAACATAAGAACAAGGCCCCAACCCATTGTATCAGTTATGTTTATTTTAAATAGAAGCCGGCATTCCCTAATCTTCCAGCTAATTTCACAAGGTAACTCACACATATTTTATTCTGTATCCCTTTCCATTCCTCACGATCAAAGAGAACCAAAATATGGCCATCCAAATAGACATGCTGAAAGCAGCTTTAGGCTATTCCAATGGGACTATTGAGGCAAATTAATGGTTCCTTTACTTCCCAACAAATGCTTCAAAAGCAATTTCTAAACTACATCCAATATTTAGTAAGTAAACTTCCTAATTTTAGAAAATCCCAAGATCACATCAGGAAATCTATTATGACTAAGATGATTAAAAAAAGTAATATCTTCTGTTGGATAGGTCAATGCAGGATTCAAAGCTTCAATGAAAGGTTGCAACTATCAATACCTAACCAATCAACTTCCCAATTTTAGAAAATCCCAAGATTACATCAGGAAATATATTATGACTAAGATGATTTAAATAAGTAATATTTTCTTTTGGATAGGTCAATGCAGGATTCAAAGCTTCCATTAAAGGTTGCAACTATCTATACCTAACCAATCAAGCCAATGCCCAAATGATCAATCCCTCAAAGAAGTATTATTGTTTAATTTTGAGATCTTTCATGCTTTACCAAACATATTACTTATATGTTCTACATTTTATATCAATGATATTGTTAGGATGTATTGTATTGGGCATGTTTGGGTTCTCCTGTTAGACATTCCCAACACATCTCAGCTGCTAATACTCCGTCCAATATCCATTACCGCTAAGTGCCACTACCAGAATCTAAAATCATGTTCATCAGCCAAGGCTTTGAGATAACATGGCATTGATCCAACCCTAGGGCATAATGCAACATTTTGTGTCATCTGAAATTCCAGCACATGAGTTCAAGAAACCTAACCTAATTATCAAATGTTAGCCCATCAATCGCACTCCACATATAAGTGATCAATTGTGTGAGTTTTTTAAAATTCTAGAATTAGCAGGAGTTTTACATGTGCCAGATGGAGAAAAAGTATCACTAAAATCCCTAATTAGGTCACAAGTATCATATCTTTGAGCACGAATGTAAGAGTGACACCATTTCTACTATCAGTCTAACCTATATAATGAGAGTCATCATCGTAGGTGAAGTCATTTCCCAATTTGCAGGTGTTTCACAACGCTTTCAAATGCTTGATTACAGTATAGGTAGCATGGATGCATGGGGGCAGCCATCAATAGCCTAAATGAAATGCAGTTCCAAGATTCCATGATGGAAAGACAAAGATACTTTAAAATAAAAATTTAAAAAGATCCTGAAAGAACTCAGATTTATATGCAGGGTTTAATAGCTGGTTACAAGTACATTATATAAGTATAGTTGTGCTTTATTGTAGGAATTAGTTGGCAAATAGATTCTTGAATTGCAGAAATTAATGCATTTTTCTTTGACATAATTAGAATGATATACACAAAGAACTTGCAAAGATGCATGGTTGTATGAGGGGGAAGAAAAGTATTTGTTATAAACAATGAGATCAACAAATCAAAAGAGAAATCTTAATTCACAGTCCGTCATGGAAAAGATTCACCACCATAACAATGAATTCCCATTATCTAGACAACACTTCTTTTGTGTAAACCATTTTCTTTATGTTTCTAGGATTTTGCCTGTTGTAATTTTTCACTAAAACATATTAAAAAAAAATAAGCTGCAAAACAAGAAATATATAGTTAACTGCACAGTTATAGAAAGTTTGCATTCATGAACAGTGTAATGACGAGGAAGATTGACTAGCAGACATGCACATAAAAAAGAATATTTTCTCTAAGCACAAACCCATTGTCCAAGTGGTTGCAGTGATCTTTTCACTTTGACACTGGCCTTCCAATTTTTCTTTTTGGAGCCTGTGTGCCTTTCCCATTCACAAAGTGACATCTTAAAGTCCCCACATGAAGAGCATGCACATAAAACCCTGTAATAGAGATGGTGTGAGGTGTGAATAGAGAAGTTTAACGAAGTATAGAATAACAAAAATTAAACTCAAACCATTGCAAAAGGACAGCTGAAAGATGGGAAGACATGATCACATAAAACAAATCAAACTAAACAAATTCGCACGAGCCAGCAATCATCTTCTCTCAAGCACTTAGCATAAACGAAATTTGCTTTATCAGTTTCTTATTTGACTTCTTAGACCTTTGTCATCTAATGCAGAAAGACAAGCATATATATGATCTCAGAAAGTTAAGCTCTGTTCTGACACAACATTTAAGTATAGGGTATTACACGTACTTTGGAAATACATGGAAGGATTTAAACTGGAACCATATTGCAATTACAAATGTATATGTATGATAAAGTTTTAGGTTAAAGCAATTTAGACATACATTTAAGTTTGCATGCAATTTAGACATACATTTTTAAGTTTGCATGTTTGTCTATACAATATCCAAAACTTCAATTACCTTCCATTGCAACTGGATATATTATACCAGAGTCTATATCAATAAACTTGACTAGTATTTGATATGTAGTAGCTGAACCTAAATTGAAATTTAGACTTCTTTAAGTACCAATAATAAAAGAAAATTTATGATTTTTGTTGCATGTGCGTTCATATTTTAAGAGAACAGAGAGAACGTATTTTCTCACTAATGCTCTTATTTTTTCTGAAACATGCTCTTCATCTTTTTACCAATTAAGTTTTTACAAATCCCTCTTATGAGGTCAGATGATAAAGGAGGGAGATACAGTAGAGAGAGAGAGAGAGAGAGAGAACTAACATTGAAAAGAGAGAGGTTGAGTGAAGTTTAGATAAAACTTAAATACAATGTTTACTATCCTGCATACCACAGAAGATACTATTTTATTATTTAGATAAATGCCTCCCACAACAATGTTAAAAAATAATGTCTATATATTAGGATTCCATTGTATAGTATATTTATGAAAGGAGGAAAGACCTAGAAGTTGTCATTTTAATCATATTCATTCACAGCTAGTCCTCTTATAAAAAAAATACAAAGATGTACTAGCTTCACATCAACACAGCTGCATATTGCAAGTATTCTCGCAAAGAGAATGACTTGAGGTGGCCATCTGCCTGTGATGGACATTTGATTTGTCAGCATCAGTTTCAAATGTAAATGTACATTGTGTCTATAGTACTTCAGTAGTAATACATATAAAGAGGCTCACATGAGAGCAATCACTTGGTCATAGTTAAAACACATAGATCAGATGTGAGTCATGTAACTCTCAAAAGGAAGCATGGTTCTGTCTGGAGGTGTCCGCAAGTTAACAAAAAACACCCACAAGTTTAACCTTCAAAAACTCCTTTTTCATCACATAATATAACCAACGCAAAAATGAGAACTGAACTGTACCAATCTCAAAATCACAACTATATTAATCTATGAAAACCAATCACCAGGAACATATCTATTTCCTGCTCATCCTCATGATATACTAAATGCATGCAATGTAAGAACATCACAAGAAAAGCGAAGATTACTTGTGAAGCCCCGGGAAGTACAACCCTTCAACCCAATTACACCAAACCTCAATAGAATCAAGGGGAACATGTGGGTTAGAGCTGTTCATCAAACAATGTCAGCATTAGTACCTAACAAAGTAAATCATCAAAAAAAAAAACAGACAAAAATGCAAAGCTTGACAAGAAAGGAATACCTAGTAAGTTGACGCCCACCAATAGAGGCTGCACGATTGAAGTTTCCATTGCAGTCTGGGCAGAAATACTCCTTGTCTTTCAGATCCTTTGACAACCAAACAAAATGATATACAATTGTGCTCCACCATGTTTAGCAGGCAAAGACCAAGGTTATGTAAGCAGATTTAGAACTTCTACAGAAATATCACTCATTTTAAGAAAGATAAAAATCCCATTGGTTCACCAATAAACTCTTCAATGGTCAACTATGCCCTTAAGTACACTAAAAAGGATGTTGCAGGTTCCAACACCAACCACCCCCCCCCCCTTCCCCAAGCAAAAAGAAAAAAAAAACTCCCCTCCACTGAATCCCTTCCTTCCCCCCTTAAACACCTGTCTCTTTTGCAAATGGCAAACAGATTCAATATTCTCAGTCAATGGATGAATTCAAAGTTTTGTTTGAATTTGTACAAAAAAAGGGAGGCTGCAGACAATTCATTTCCATGAGAAAGAGCAACCCAGATTTCTTTCTTTAGGTCAGTGGTGGGTCTGAACCTGGATGTCATGCTGCAATTGTCGACAACATAACCATGAAGGGCCCAATTGACAGATCCCTAGATTTAGGGAAGAGCATAACGAGATGATTAAGAGACAATGGAGATGAAGAACATATGCGGGCCGATCGATGGATAATCGACATTAGAGGATTGAGAGAGAAAGGAGATGAATAACATACTCAGTAGAACCAATAGAGAATAAAAAACAGCAATTATGGCCATTGCTCCCATATCCTCTTTTTGCTCTTTTCCCCATCAGTAAATCCATCTACATACTTGTTATCATTCCCTACAATTCCTCCCTTCCTCTAATAGGCAGCTGAATGTTCTGTAAATGCATCAACCAAAATCTTTTCTAACATGCCAATTTTGTGGAGGTCGTTACTATTTAAATTTTAACAGTGGCATTCTCCTTTTAAAAGTTTTATCCAAAAATTTGCAATGGTTTTGTGAACTTCTACAAACTTTTGAAAATCCAGAAATAACCTGTTGAAACCAGTGGCAAGAATGTAGGGGCCATTAAATTTTCAGTATTTAGAGAGAAGTTAACACAACACATTCATTGATTTATACTCCTGTAGATAAGAGACTGGAATTATATGTCACTGAGATAAATACCTTTAAACAGTTGGTGCTAATTTTGGCACACTCAGCATGAATCCATACCTTACATCTGTCACATTGTACCTGTACATAGAAGGCCAAGCAACACGTGATTAAACAACAATGCCATAAGTAAAAAGATGTGATTCCAAAGTCTAAAGACCCTCACCCAACTCCCTCCATCTGAATGATACCAAATTTTCTTGCATATGCCACAATATTGTTTAGACTTTGCTAGCTGCAAAGATAATAAAATGTTAGAACTGACTAATACCAAACCACATATGCCACCCTAGTTTTTTAAAAAAAGAAAAAGAAAAATTATAACTCCAAAAACTAAGTACAGAGTAAATCTGTGAAAAAGGCAATTATACAAACCCTGGAGCAACGTTTACATAATAATTGGCCTGAAGATTCAGTACTTAATCTCTTGGCTAATTTTGGTGGAAGGACCGAATTACAGCCATCACAATTTCGTCCATCCAATACTTTTTTATGAAATGTAACCTGCACCGATAAAAGTACATTTAGCAAGCTTTTATTGCTGTGTCCTTAGAATGCTAAATTGTCATATATAATGCAAAATGAGGAAAAACAAAACCAAGAACCATAATAATCAACAATAGATGAGCCTGCTAAGATAGGACTAAGAGGGACTCTCTCATAGATTAGGAAGCATTTAGGAACCACGAAACTTTTTATAGAATATGTGGCTGTATAGAAAATAAAAGAGAAATAGGTTTTCTAAAAATAGGTAAAATTTGAGCTAAGATCAATAGGTTTTTCTAAGATAGGTAAAACTTGAGCCAAGATCCACCTGGATAGAGATGGATAGCCTTATCTATGAGTGTCATTGGCTACAGCTAGCAGGTTAGCATAATTTGACTTGTTTTCATTTTTTATGATTCCACACCCTTCTTTTCTTGTAATTTAAACTTTTCTTGATCTCTTTTTTTTTTCTCATCTTTGTAAATCATTAATTCTAAGGTTCAGGCTCAAAATGCATTGCATTTTAAAAGGGAAAAATCTACAAAAGTTCGAATTTCATAGATACATCCAAAAATGCCAGTGACTTATTGATAAAAAATAGTTGAAATGTTATGAAAAACATGAAGAAAACATCACAGATAACTAGGCCACCCAAGTTTGCCAAGTTGTACCACAGCCATCAGAACATTTTTGTTGATCATTCAATTTGCATAAAGGACAGCTAGATATTAAAACTCTAACACTGTTTTATATCTTAAGGGTTGATTACCACGCGCATAGAATAGTTATTGAAAAAATTATTACTTTGTCATAAAATTGTCAGCGGAAGTTTCTTTATTAAGCAGACTTATTACCCAAATTGTAATTTTCAGCATGACCACACTTTTCTCTGCATTACCTCAAACAATTACTTACTTTCCAGATTTGATTTTATTCCTTTAGAGAATGATACTTGTTCCTATTGGAAGTTTCTGGAAGTGATTCTTACAAGTCCTTTTTTTTTTGAGAAAAAGCAATTCTTACAAGTCTCTGGGTGTGAACTCTGATGAATCTAGACTCAGTAATGCCTAGGTAATGGCTAGACTCCTCAAGCAGAGGACTCGCTGAAATCCAAAGCCACACAACATTTCTGATGCATTGACAGAGAAAAACAGTGTTCCCAGACTCGGCCGAGTTACTCGGCCTCAGCCTCTGGCCGAGGCGAATCTTTCTGGAGTCATGTGTCTAGAGTTCCTTTCTTCCATTCCCTCTTCAATTGGAAACTCCTAATAATCTCAGGATAAGTGCCAGATGGGAAACCCACGCTACTTCCATGACCAGAAGAAAAATAAGGAGAATGAGAAGAAGGATAGCAATGCCATAAGTAGATGGAACCAGACCATAACCATGAGAAGCAGTGGTTACAGGTCGGCCATAAGATTGAGAAGAGGGAGGTGGGTTTGAGCATAAGTATAAGAAGGAGGTGGGTTATGTTCTGATAGTGAGAAGAAGTGGGTTTCTCATGGCCGCGGTGGGGGAGGGGCAGAAGGGCATAGCCTCCATTACAACCAGACATGGATGGGTTTTTCTTTTATCCTTTTTTTGGGTGGGTTGGGAGGCGGGGCAGGAAGGGAGAGATGTGGTGGAAAGGTACGTTATGCCTGAGGTTGGGGGGGCGGGGAGGGGGAGAGAGAGATGCGGTGGGTGGTTTGGTTAGGGGAGAGTGAGAGAGAGAGAGAGAGGAGGGGGACGTGTGGCCAGGGATTTCCTTCCCTTTCACCACATGCCATCTTCCTTCTTATTTCGTTTTTTTTTTTTTAATGAGCACAACTCAGGAGAGTCCACTCAGATTTACCCGAGTAACTCACCGCTGGGCTGAGTCCCACGCCCAAGGTGAGTCTAAAAACATTGGAGAATACAAATTGATTCCAAACGTGATTAAACGGGAATGAACATCATACAGATATTTTAAATTCCATTCCAAACCAAGCAATACATTCTGTTTAAAAGAACATGCCTGGTTCTGTGAGTGACCCTCTTGATCCTGATTCGAATCAGTAACTTCTTGAACACCTCTTGGGACGGATAGAGAATGGACTTGTTGCCCACTATTATTCAGCTCATTATCCAATGTTTCTTCAAACCCATGCTCTGCTAAGAAAGCTTCTTCTATTGCTATCCTGAACTCACTTGGTGTGCTCCTATGCAGTTGGGTCTGTCCTTGGAATCTGAGAATTGGCCCAAGATCCACAAAAGACATCAAGAAATATTAATGAGAAACATCATAAGATGGAATGTGCCCGTTTTAAGAAAATAAATCACTCAAAAGATTTGACAAGAAACCACTCATAGCACAGTCAAATGACCACTGTGAAGGTACAACTACTACGAGTATCATACCAATCAGGGTTCAAGTCCTTGGGACTGCTGCATCTAGGCCGATTTTCAAGTCCTAACCCACAAATAACAGACCCAACAAACTAAAAGGATAAAAGAAAAGAGAAAAAAAGAAGAAAATGGCTAACCTGTCCAAATTATCTATAAACGGGAAAACCGTTCCCTCTTTCACCCATGCATAGTCCTGTCCAATAGTAGACGCAATTAATCCATAACTACAACCTCCACAATCAAATAGCAGGCTAGCGGCTATGGTTAAGTAAAAATAAAACAGAGACCAGTGATAATATTGTCTCTCAAAGTGGTGGGATGAAAGCTACAAACTTTATCTGTAACCATTGTTCTTTTTATTCTAAGCCATTGCCAGTCAGTTGTCAGGCATTTGGAGAACCAAATAGTGTCGTTATTATATTGTAAGAGGTGGTGGTAATGTTTGTATCACCATAATTATCATAATCAAGATTTGTTGTTGTTGTAGTTGTTGTTGTTGTTGTTTAATAGTAAGAACACCACCAACAACAATAATAAAATGGATTTGTTCAATATGATAGCCTCAGGGTTTCCTTCAGTTTCCTAGCACTCCTCATTCTTCCCATGTCAACAATGGACAGTTGGGGGATGTCGTTTCTCCTCTCAAAGTCTATGAATTTAACTGATGAACTTGAGCTGAGGAAGGCACTCCCGAACTGCCCATTGTTGGCATCTGACAGTTGGGGATTGCTAGGAAACTGTTCTGAGAGCGAAATGATAGCATTCCTTGATATAACAACATGAATGAACAACAACCTTTACTGCTAATACTACTATTAGTATTACTAATGTCATATGTAGTAGCAGTAGTAGCAGCAAGCAAGCAACAAATATTAATAAATTTAACACATAAAATATCAATTACGTACCCTTTCTTTTCCTGCCATTTTTGAATGACCGAAGAACATGACACAGAGGGAATCGGGTACACAGGAATTGAGAACGGTATCAGGAGCCTGTGTCAAAGGATCAATAACAACGGCAGGCCAAGTTGGATACCGCTTCCCAGACTTTGCCCAAACAATATCACCTACAACAAATTCCTCTAACCTATGAACTCCCTTTTCACCATTTCCACAGCCTCTTTCCAAAGAGTCCCTGATCTTCTGCTTCTCAGGTGCAACATTTCCTTTATGAACAGAAGTCATGAATCTCTCCTCGAAGGACTCACAAATATGCATATGATTGGAAACACCGGTTTTCCCCTCACTTTTGGAATCAACGGCACATATTCCCGGAATATCAGAATCCTTTGCTCTCCCCCAAGATTTAGAATCAAAGTTAGTCATCCTAGCTGTACTAGAAGGCCAAGTTTCTTCTCCACCCCATGAATCAATAATTCTGCTTTCCTCCTTGATCATAGAATCACATTGTCCAATACGAGATGAGACAGCTTCTGCCTTTATACAAGCTCTAGATTTTTCTTCAGCTTTAGAATTGGGGGTGCTCATACCAGGAAATACATTACCTCTATAAACAAAATCTTTCCCATCATCAAAATCCGTTCTAGAGGTGATAGTCCCAATACCTGGAAAAGCCCCTGGTTTTCTCTCAACCTTGGAATCAAAATTGCTCAAAAAAGTACAGCTATTAGCATCAGTTCTAGGTACCTCGAAAACAACTGAATTGTAAATACTCAATCCCCTCTCCAGAACTGAATCCAACATTTCCTTGGGCTTCTTAGAATCCTCTAAATATGAAGAAACACAGGCCAATGAAACAGAATTCCACTTCATATCACATTGACCAAACCCTAATTGGCTGTTCCCTACCATACCACTCAATGGCGTCTTACTATCAATCTCAATTGGAGCCAATTGATTTAAAGTACCCGATGACTTGCCCTCTTCATGGTCCTGAGGCTTCCCATTCCACTTAGAGCTCGGCCTGATTGTTTTCTTCTTCCATGAATCGAGAACCGAGTCTTTTAAACGAGAAGGGAGTACCTGAACTCGACCACGAGAACTTCGAATGACAGGAGAATGAGCAACCTCGCCTGAATTCTTTCGATTTTGGTCAGGAGAGACCTCAGTGCCAAGAGATGTAATACCGCTTCCAATGGGTTTTGGCCAAAATCCAGTGGATTTCAGATCATTTTCGGGCAATGGTTGTTGGAATTTGGGACAGTAAGAATCAGGAGCAATGTAACTGGCGTGAACCAGAGAATCGATGCCTGTGGCATAAGCCGCTGCTTCTCCAAGAACGTCAAGAGACTGGTAATTCCCCTTCTTTTTCTTCTTCTTGCTCGAAGATTCAGATAAGTCTTCAGAAAAATCATCTGAAATTTCCTCTGAATATGTAGTATCGTTCAAGCGCTTGGGCCTGAGCACCCTGGTTCCCTCCATTACTAGGAGAGAGAATAAACAAGATCCTAGATTTTTCAATTCCTACTGCATTGTTCTGAATTCAAAATCGCCCCAAAATAAGTACCAAAGAAGACAGAGGGAGAGAGAGTATTTTTACAAAAACATAAACAATAGAGGCCCACGCTTCACTCTACAAATAAAGAGAGAGAGAGAGAAAGAGAGAGGGATAAAACCTAATTCTCACACAACCGCAGCACCTGCAACCCTAATTTCACAACCCACCCTGTAAAAATCCAGAAGAGCTTCCTCCCCTTGTCTTGCTACGACTTTTTACGTGTATGGCCAGAAATTCTCGCCGGAAAACCCAGAAACGGCCAGAAAAAATTACTCTGAAGAGGATTAAAGAACGAAATAGAAAACATTAGGATCACAGAACGAAGTTTAAGCGGGGAATTTATTGCATAATATAAAGGAATAATACACCTATATATAATGTATCGATTAGATATGACCAGAAAATCAGTTTAGTTGCCGGAAAACCGTCGATAAGTTAGAATTCCGATAAAATTTTGAGAGCGAAAAGATTAGGGAAAATTGGCTTGTGAGAGAGAAGGGGAGGGAAGGGGCGGGAGGGAATTTATATTAGAACTGGTTTTTGTTTTGGCTCCAATTTGAAGGGGAGACCAAATTTTTCAATGGACCAAGGTTTATTAGAAATCAGAATCCATTTAGTGGAAATTACGAGGGTGATTCGTGAAATTGCCACGGGTTTCCGAATTTAATGCGGTTGCACCCCTTCTCTTGGACCTGAAAACACATCACCTCAAATCTTCGTATAAGCACCTTCAGCAACAGAAATCTTCATTACTCTAAAATCGATTTCCAACTTAAAACTTAAAAAATAATATAGATCTTATAGATCTATAAACACTTATTTTTAGAGTGATTTGGATAATTTATGACAATATATATTTTTAGAGCTTTAAATCCTCTTTGTTTTAAAACATATAGAATGTTCAAACCAAGATGATCGAGATAAAAGTTTTATAATTCTTTAATGAAAAAGTGTTTTAGGAGTCGGCGGACTCACTAGCCCACATAATCACAAACGTCTATCTTTAAGATCAACATCCACAACTAATGATTCCTATCTAATGGATATGACATTAGTCTCATTAAAATGTTTTAAAATTTTATTTTATTATATTTTTTTTTTGTATTCATGATCATCATAGTCTATATCAAGGATCACTACAAATTTGGATCCAATATCGATACAAATAATGGGTGTTCAGAGAGCCCACATGAAATTAGTGCGTGCGGGGGGACTCATAAAAACCGGGTCCTTTTCAAATTACAATTTTCGGTGAGTTATGAGCGGTTACTTGTCAAATCATTTTCCTTCTCTATTTTCAAATTTTATTTACGACTCACTACTCTCTTCTAATTTTATTACAACTTAGCTAGAATTTTCACAATGTAGAAACTGTTGATTCTCTCTATGGCCGGTACGCTTGTGGTGAGTCTTCCATGGATAGTGGGTAGGAGTTTTTTAAACCTAGATAGGTTGGGGGAACCGGTGGTTTTTGGGAAATTGGTCTAGATTGGTAGATTGTTGATTCGGATTGACGATCTGATCAATTACCCTGTGTGAGATTTGATCAATACAAACTTTAAGAGAACTACAATTTAAGCTAGTCGGCCTGTACTAGACTGACTGCCAATTCCAACCATGAAGTAGTTAATCCAGGATTGATTTACGTCCTGAATCTATGATTCCCGATCAAATCGATGAGTTTTTAACACTAGTGGCTAGTTTGTTCTCTCTATCTACTACAACGAAGGGTTCTTAATGGAGCTTCTTCCCCCAACCAGGAGGGACAAAGAATTTAGTCGGTGAGAATGATGAAGCGGGAATGGTGAGGAACAGAGAGAGATACGTATTAGAGACAAATCCATGGTTCAGCCTTGAACTACTAGCTTGTGCTTGGCCCGTAGTGCTTGCATATCTATTGAATCAGATGGTATCGCCATTACAATTGATTGCCCCTTCACCTCGCCCACCATTGCGGATTGCTCCCTCTGGACTGCAACCTGAAGGTTTCTCCTTTTTGTGTATGGGACAGAGCCAGTAGTCTCTCTCGCCTAATGAGTTTTTTATTCATGAACAGTATTTGAAAACCCAACTATTCAGATCAGAAATGCTAGAACCAAAAATCGATCGGCACCAAATTGATTCTAGGAAGAAATCAGCGTTGGCCATGTTACCCCTTTAACCCCCACGCCAAAGAAATCAGTTATTTTATTTATTTTTCCTTCTGTTTTTTTTAGTGTGTGGGGTGGACGATCCACCCGTTTTCAAACTCTGCTCATGGACTATAATTTGGTTAAGTTTTAGTAGTCTTCCATAATTGCATGAATTTTATAAAGCCATTGATGGTGTTATTTTATAATTCCATAATTCCAAAATCACTTCAAAGAAGGTCATACACTGCCACTAATTAACAAGTTGGGAAACTAAACAGGCGACATACTTTATTGGCCTCCTATCTGGTTCCATTCCTTTGATTTCCCACTTATTCAAATCCGAGCCGTTCGTATTGTGAATAAAACCCCAATAGATTATATGCTCCAACAAGAGCATATCACCCATCCATCCTCTCGGGGTAAATATATTATTACGATTTAAATAGTTTTGGTAATGTGCATCATCATCGGAGCTTTATCCTAACTATGTAGGGTAGGCTATATAAATCCTATTTTGTCATTCTGCTTTATCAAGGACCCTACTTCAATAAAAGCATAACCCTCCTGTTGGGATTTAGCATGAGGCTGGCCAAGATAAAGTTTGAAAAATAATAGCTTAAAATTCCATAATTTCAATCCAATATTTTGATGATCAAATCATGTTGGAAATCAAAATACAAAGGTAAACCTAAAAAACTTTAGATCGAAAAAGATAGTCTATATCGCATTTGCTGGAGGGAGCAAGTTTACAGTGTGCTCCTGCAAAAGTACAATGTAGGTGCTTGAATTGTACATATTTTAGTGCAAATTTCGTATATATTTGGAGATATTCCCAATTTATGCGGGTCTGGTGAGTTGGTTGAACGGCCACCGTACTTTCAACCGAATCACAGCCTCTGTATCTGCCGTCAATTTAAGTTAGTTAAAGAAGACCCAAACAATGGTGAGTTAATGCCATGACACGGTTTCTATGCGGCCAATCCGCATAATGTAGAAATACGGGCTTATTTTTTTAAAATATAATTTAATCTTAATTTCTAGAGAATATATAATGAGATTGTGTATATAAAAAATAATAATAATTAAAAATATAATTATATTAAAAAAATATTTGGACCATCAATTACACTTGTTTTTAGATGGACCACCGATATATGCACTTTAAAATGAATGCTTTATACCTATAGATGATATGAATGCTTTATACCTATAGATGGTATATTGTAGAAATAAGTTCCGCATGACACAATTTTCCTTTCTAAAAAACCCCAACCTTTAGTGCATTTTACATGCGGCCGCCTTCAATTTTGTACCCAGCAATGGTGGAATTCTTGAGCATTCCCAAAGGGCACTGTTTGGTGAATTGGCCGACTCATTATTTTCGTGCGGTCTATCTACAGTCACAAAATATGTCTTAAAGATGTATTTTGATTCAAAATTTTTAAATTCGATAACATGGCAATGATCTAATTTTTTAATTTTTCTTTTTTAGGATGTACAAATATTTAATTTTTTAATTCCTCTATTCACTGGCCATTTAACATTTAGCGGATGTAAAACTTTTTGACATCCAGGGCGTTAGATAGATAAGGGCCCACACGGTAATAGATGAGTCGGCTGACTCACCAAAACCATGCCCTTCCCAAGCGCTTTTTCACGATCTTGAATGAACAAAAGCGGCCTGGCGCTCCCATCAAATCAAGCAGACGTGGTGGACCTCAATGACATTTCCATTTTATTGAATATTTGTCATTATTTAGGAGTTCGGATGATTGAAAGAGTGTCTTTAATTATCTTCAAATTTTTTTAAAAAGTTTTAAATTTTCATGAAACACTTTAAGTTATTCATTTTGACATTTAATGACTATGAGTACTTGTGATCTTCATGTAATAAAGATAAATGGTTTCATAATATACAGTCTTGTGCTGTATGCAATAGTTTAAAAAACGAATCAGTGACCCGGTTCGGGCACCCAAAAAACTGAT